ATTATTAGTCACGCATTCTAATAAATTGGTAATAAAATACTACTTTTTTCCATTCGTACCCAGATTGTAATCTCTCTGAAAATATTATTTACCTGGTCTTCAATTAATAAAGGTAGAATAATTTCAATTTTTTTTTAAAAATTGTTATCATTTGTTGCCCTTCCCGGTGACTTCACGTTATTATATTAGGCAAAGCACGTTTTGGGTTCATCCCATCAAAATAAAGATTAACTGTGTTTAGCACCACTCAGAGACTTGTTGATAATGCTCGTGGACAACTCAAGAAAGTCAAAATTTACCAGTATCAAGTAATTTTCTCTGGTACATATTGCTTTCGAGTTGCTGCTTGTCGAGTTTCTACAGTATTGGTTATGAAACTGCTTAGTTTTTGTGCAGTTTTAAAGGCCTGTTTACACGTTCCAAGTTCTTGAATCCAAGAAATTGGTGGAATTTCTCTCTCCAAGAAATTGGATGATTCGTCGACACTATCCAAGTTCTTGAATCTCACTGATGGGTCGGAAGAAAAACTTGCGCATGCGCATTGTTCAGATTCGACATTATAAAATCATGCTTATATGAGTTTAAAATTACTAAATAAATTCAAATAATTACTAAATAAAATCATAATGACACAAATAGACCATAACAGATCAATTTATTTGGACTAAAACATATGAAAACAGACAACAAAAGGACATAATCTGATGCCTGCTTGTTGACGTCACAAAACTTAAGACGCTGATTGGGGTTAAGGGAGTAAAAACTCAGATGGAAAGTAGAACATGCTCTACTACCGTCCAAGGACTTGGACCAAGTACTTGGATGATCGTTTACACCAGGGGTGTCAAACTCGCGGCCCGAGATGAACATTTTTGTGGCCCAATCAATATATCCGACACAAAGTAAAAATAAATTAGAAATGTGAATTAGAAAGTAAACTAGCATATGAAATTATGATATACTTTATTTATAAACTATAAGGATAATTTTAAATTGTACGCTCGAAAATGTAAAATTCTAATTGGCTTGCGGCACCTGCCATTCCAGGGATACTGCATCGCATCAAAAATACGCAGAAAAAATTTCAAATCTTAGAACGGAATTTGAAGCAAGGTTTAAAGATTTTAATTAGCGGGAAAACAAATTTTGTTTGTTTTCGTCGATTTTCTCAATAAATATAGACTTAGTACCCAGTAATATGCAAATGGAAGTGATTGAGATTCAGTGCGACTCAGATTTGAAGACAAAATTCATTGAAGTGGTTATGCCTGAATTTTACAAATATTTACCGGCAAGGTTTGAAAATACTCGAAAATTCGCCTATGAAATTACTTCCATGTTTTGAAGTACTTATCAGTGCAAGCAATTATTTTCTGTTATGAATGGAAATAAATCTCCCGTCCGAAACCGTATCAATAACGCTCATGTTGGGTCAATTTTGAAAGTAGTCTCGGCCAAAAAAATTTCTCCAAAAATAGGAAGGATAGTAGTGGAGAAGAGATGTCAAGTATCAAACAATAATTTAACTTTATATATGTTTATTTCAATGTGCTAGTAAAAAAAATATTTGTTTCTATGAACATTGATTTATTTTTTTTTGCGGCCCACCTAAAGTCAAGCATTGTTTATTTGTCCCAAGTTAACTTTTGAGTTTGACACCCCTGGTTTACACGATCCGAGCTCAAAGCAAAACAAGTTTTCATCAATATCAATCAATCTTCGTCCAAGAACTTGGATCATCTAAACAGGCCCTAATGGTCACCAAATATATCAACATAATATTTAATACCTCTATTTGTATATTTGGTATGCATTGCACATTTGAGTTGTGTGTAAAAGACATTTATCAGTGACAGCAAGCTGAAATTTTAAAAACAAATGGAATTCTTATAAGATCTCATAAGGACATTGAAGTATGACCAATCTTACTAACAATTTATTGTTTATAAAATAAATAGTTGTAGAAAACATCCATTAAAACACTATCTTTATTAACACTAGAAAAAAATGTTTTTTGAAACTACGGAAAACTCGTCGCGGAATATTTTTAAATTCACACCAATTGCCATAATGCCAGTAGTACGTAATACCAAAATTAATTAGGCGTCATCTGCGTATGGTGATATTCTACGGTTTTCCTAAACGAATTTCTTATAAACCTTTTGTCCATTCACTTAGCTTTTGTATTAAAAAAAAAATGTCAAAAATAATTTTGACTTATGATGAAATCAATACAAATAGAACATGTCTAAAAGTAATAAATTAACTGTGCTATTTAAAACTCACGAATCGTAATAAATATATTAGGAATTTAGTAACCTAATGGAAATTAGTAGTTTCAAATGCAAAAGTAAAAAAAAAAACACATCAAAACGTCTCTTGGATATAAGATGAAATTGACAAAAATAAAACAAGTCAAAAAGTGATTGCTCAAATATCGAAATTCGCGTATCGCATGATCATAAAAATATTAGGTTTTTTAAACGCCATGCGGAATTTCTTAGCAATAACAGTTGAATCAAGGAACAACATATACTTACAATAGAATTTGTGCAAATCAAGAAGTGATGATTTAAATGTGATTCAAAATTCTTTGTGTTCGGAAGCGAGCCGCTCATCAGCAGTCGGCGGGTAGCAGGTTGTGCACCCTTGTTAGATTGACGCTAATTCGCTCAAAATGTCGTTCGTTAATGAAGACAAAAACTTATTTTGCACAGTTCGTTACAATTTTTTTAAATATTTTAATATCTCATCATTTTTCTTGTTTTTATATTTATTTCAATTTTGAAATTAATACGTATTAACACGGATGAAATACGCCATTAATCCTTTCAATCCTCCATTCCCTATGTATATTCTGTGGATTAGCTATATTAAGATGTAAGTGAAAACAAAAGCAAATCAGATATATTGAACATACCCATGTGGATGCACGCACTTTATGTTATTCTAAAAATATCTCTTACCTGGTTCCTCCACTAGACTTTTCAATTGTGTCGGTACATGCCTTTCCAGTTTTGTTTTTGATTTCATTATGTTTACACAGTATTGATTGATTAATTTTTTTTTTATTTCTCCTCTTGTAAAGAACGTGTATTCATCTAGTAAAAATTAAAAAATTATGCTTTTCCAGTTAAGTAAAAAAAAAATATTTTTTTTTTGCACCTAAACCTCATAATTTTTCGGAAGACGTTGGAGGGTGATCATTAGTAGTGCTAAAGTGTATCACGAAATTAATGTGCTCCGTCGTTCCAGTTTTTGGTCTGAGAAGAAAGTTTGAATCTGTTTGTGTTTTAAAAAGGTCGAAACTTCGGTTGGCTATAAATTTTTCTAACATCAAACGCAGAGCTCCAATTGAAATTTCAGCATTCTAGCTAATCGGAAAGGTGATCATAACAATGATTGGCTATGAATTTTATTTTACTATGTGAATTATGCCTGTTGAGGTATAAAAATTATCAATACTATATTATTATCATCATACACAGTTCACTTCTAACCATCTATTAACTTCTAACCATCACTTCTAACCATCTAATTAATTGGAAAACTATTCAAAATTTGGATTGTCAATAAATTCTTTTTTATAATAATATAAATAGAAAATCTTCGCGTAATGGTTAAGAAATTATTGATATTTGAAATGTCCTCCAGTACAGAGCTCCATTGATAATGGAAGCACTCTAGCTAATCGGATGGTAGTTGAAATTTCGATTGACAGTAAGTTTCTTGTAGAAATAATATCGTGAAAAATTCCGCATTAGGCAAAATTATAAGGAAATAATTATTATTTAATTTGGCATCATTCTCGAAGCTCTGTATGAGGTTCAAGCACTCTAGGTTTTTTAAAAGTGGCCAAAACTTGTTACCAGTGATCAGTTAACTTTCCGATAATATGGTGATAAAGTCTGATTGTCGTGATCAGGAAATGATTGAAATTTGTATTGTCAAGTACCAAGGTACCTTTATAATGCGAGCACTCTAGTAAATCAGAAAGCGGTTGGAAAATTTAAAGGTGTTACATTTCTTTTGTCAATAATTTTGCGATAAACTCTTCTTGCAACGGCAGGGAAATGATTACAAATATTATTGTAATTCAGCGTAGAACTTCAGTTAAAAATTGAGTGCTCTAGGTAGTTTTTATCTGGTTAGGAAATTTTGGTTGACGATAAATTCTCTTCGCAGTTTCTATTTCTATAAATTCTGGCAACGACCGAGAAATGAAAGAATTTTGCATTGACAAGGGGCACGGAGCTTCAGTACGATAAGTGTTAGAGTTAATCGGAAAGTAATCTAAATTTTGATAGCTTGAAGCCATCGCAACGATAGCAAGATTCCATCTAGTAAATGAAAATTTAGTAAAGTAAAAAAGCCTTTTTTTATAAAGTTAAAAATATTTATTGAAGAGAGAGAAAAAAAATGACAAAAAATAATTTATTTTATTTTATAACCGTCCTTGAACAGCCAACCGAATTTGTGGGTTTACGACTACTAATGCTCAACTCCATAGCCTTGTCGTTTTGAACCCAATCCAGAAGACAAAGAAACTCCTGGATCAAGTATTGGGAGGTATTTTGCCTTTGTGGAGCACTTTTGGAGGGAACTGACTCTCATTTGCGTTACATGAAGAAGGAAACCACGAAAACCTCTCGCGGTTAGCCTGACGGCAAGGGGACTCTAACCCATGATCCGTCTACCACTGATGATTTTACGTCAGCAGTATGGTTTGTGCAAGCCGGATGCGGAATTCGTATCGACCAGCCATAGCTCTGATTCGAACACGGTTCACATCATTGTTAGGCGAATGCTCTATCCCCTGAGTCACCAAGACTCAAAAAATAATTAAAAAAACTTTTGCCTATATTTTGCCTATATGGTTTTGGTTCTGAGATTCCTGCTCTTAGATCTTAAGGTTCATTTTAGTATTTTTTAACCCTTCTTTCTTTATTATTTTATTAGCAAAAAAAAAAAGAAGACTTTTTTAAAAAAAATATTTTCAGTGATGGAGAAAGAGGTTCAATCAGAAACTTACTTCCCAGACTTCTCTGACATTTGTGATGAAAGTTTTCAGTTTTGGGACTTCATGACTCATAAGGAGACTTTAAAGGAGAGGCCAATCGACAACGAAACAACATTTGAGAACGTGAGATCACACAGCGATCATTCCTCACTGAGAGATGACGACTCGCACACATTTTGGGATTTTTTAAGCTCTAGGACTGAAAATACTCAACATTCACCTGATTCGCGTCAATTCAGCGATATCTTTAGTGATAAAGTGGAAAAAAATCTGAAGCCAACTTATGGTTCCAGGGAAACTAATGACGATGTAAAAGCTCGACAAAAACATACTGCATCCGATGAATTCTGGGATTTCTTAAACTCTTCTATAGAAGATAATAAGAATTGTGCTGCAGAAGTTCATCTCATTCCCTGCGGCACTCCTGTTACGAAGGAGCAACTCAACACTTCTTCGTTTTTAGAAACTAGTGCTGCCATACTTCCTCGAATATCTTCAGTTTATTCCCTAAATACAACTCGCTCGGTGGAGGCACTATCCGAAATTATTACCCCACTCACATCTGTTATGAATAACAGTTGTGAGTTCACAGAGGCAACTCATCAGCTAGTAGTTCACAATAATGCACCGAGTGATCATGACATGGTATATGCACAGAGCACAGACGGAGGCAATTTCTCACAAATTCCTCTCAAACACAACACAAATGCAACTCATCAAGTAGAAGCTTACGAAAATCCAATGAATGATTATGAAATAAAATACTACCTTACACAAAACACAGACAGAGGCAACTCGCTCAACAGTAGTTCACATAGCATTCTCAACCACAGCACAGAAACAATCAATCAAACAGTAGCTCAGGAAAATTCAATGAGTCATTATAAATTGGAAAGCTATGCTGACACTTTAAAACTTCAAGATCCTATCAGCAGAAAATCTCTGATATTAAGAGAATCCCCTGCGAAGTTGTCTACATGTACGTCTTGTTCAACACTTTCTTCGGTCAGTTGCAAGATTCAGCATTTAAAACTAAAGGATGAGAATATTTCACGCCCGGAGAATATGGGTGTAAATAATGGTATGGAGCCCCTCTACGTTTCACTACCGAAATCCGAAATGTTACAGAAACCTAACTATTCACAGTTCTTGATAATAGTTAATAATGCTCAACCACAAATAGCTTTAAAGGAAAATGAAGCGGTAAAAAAAATTGAACAAAACATAACTGCTCAGAACTTCTCGTCCACCGAAAACCATTCATTTGCCGATGATAATTTACAGAGTGATTTCCGCTTAGCGGGCTTTAGAAATAATCATGTTTTAAACGTATGCAAGCGAAAAAGAAGTTTCGATTCACCATTTGCTACACCCAATGGCTCTGAAAGCAACTGTCCTATCCCAGTTTCATCCACGCCTTTGGACACAGATACCTTAAATTCGATTTCGGCCCGCTTTAAAAGCAAACAAAATAATTTCTCCAAAATAGTTAAAAAGCAGAATCTAAATCAAAAACCAATCAAATGCATACCATTGGGAAGATGCAAAAATGCCATTCAGCAAACAAATACGCCGATCAGTCTGGAGGCTTATGAAGCAAACGCTGAAAATACTTTGTTGAAACCCTGTAGCACACCCCTACTCAGAGGCGATGGTGAATCAGTGAGAAATGCTGATAAAACTCCTCCATCCCTATCTAAGTCCCAAAGTAATTCCTTCTTGACAGTTACTTTTCCTCAGATTCCCAATTCGAATGCGAAATATGTAATTAATTATCCCAGACAGAGCATTATCCAAAACGCCAGACAGAGCATTGCACCAATTATCCCAAATGCCAGACAGAGCATTACACCAATTATCCCAAATGCCAGACAGAGCATTGCACCAATTATCCCAAACGCCAGACAGAGCATTGCACCAATTATCCCAAACGCCAAGCAGAACATTGCACCAATTATCCCAAACGCCAAACTGAGCATTGCACCAATAGTCCCAAACGTCAGACTGAGCATTGCACCAATTATCCCAAACGCCAGACAGAGCATTGCACCAATCGTCCCAAACGCCAAACAGAACATTGCACCGTCTTCCTGCCAAGTGACAGAAATTCAATACACGTTGTCCAGTGGGATATTTCAAGAACCTACTTCCTCCTCCTTATCCTCGAAGTACAAAGTAGTACCTAAAACGAAAAAATGTCGACGTAAAACGGTGAAAGAACTTTTGGAAGAACGACAGTCTGAAATAGCATCGCTTTCAAAGCAACGAAAGGTCTCGAAACACTGTGTCGGCGAGGCTTCGTCTGAAATCGGTAATAAAATCCATTCAAAAACTGACTGCTATGATGATCCAAAAAATGATGACACTGCTACGCATCATGGAGGTATTTTTATTTACTGTATGCTTTTTGTTTTTACTATTTACTTAATTTTATTGGAGTCTTGCACGAAAATACATTCTTTTCTCGAACTCAACTTATTATTCCAGGAAATGCCCCTCATTCTAATGCTAGCACAACCCGAAAAAAGCTATGAGTAACGTGTTGAGTGCGTTTAACCGCTTCTCTTTGATTGGTTTTTGAAAAAAAATCAACATATTTTTTTATTTCATTAATAAATGCAAGGAACTAAAACAAAACACTCTACACAAGTTTTAAATTGAAATTTTAATTTTTTTATGTGTAAAAAACAATTAATTTACCATCAGTTTACTATCCCGAGTTGTCTCGGTCAAATGAAAAAATTTAAGTATTAGATAGTTTTTAAAACAAGGGACAAAACAATGCGATACTTTCCAAACGCCAATGAAGTGATAAGCTATTTTTTATCGATTTTTTTTCCAGCAACCATCGTGCGTAAAATCGCACAAAACACGTGTGCAGCCCCACAATCCATCAACAAAAATCCCAAGCAAAACTTGGAAAACTTCCAATCCCGGCAGATTTTCTTTTCTTTTGCTTTCGGTCGAGTAAAAACGTGATAAAACAAAATGTACTGACACAACGTCTGAATTTTCTCAGGATAATAAATATTTGCAATAGATGCATACCCGTGTTAACTCGGGATAGCCAGGGAAACGGTTAATGTTGAGCCTAATCAACCCGTATATGACTTGTATACAGTTCTAAGAAACCTCTACATTCATTAAAATGTACTTCTCTGAAATCCATCCTCTCACTCACTAATTTCTTTTTAAGTCGGTACCCTTACTTCTAAAATAACTGGTCCATTTAACGTTTCCACTATTGCATTCAGATTTCGCAGGACCTTTTCTACTACAATCAAACCCCGCTATAGTGAACACGGTTTATAGTGAACTCCCGGATATAATGAACGAAATGTTCTCTCCCGTGCTCTGTTATTTCTTATGGATATAATGAACCAGCGAAAGAGAGGAAGTTGAATATTATAAACTTTTTTCAGTTTTCGACTGATTTATTTTCTTCATTTTTTTTGTTGTAATAATTTTGAAATTTCTACTTGTACAGAAAATAAATACATATCTAAATAAAACCATCTTTAACATGGAATGTTCCAAAAAGCAATTTTTTTCTTGTTTGCTTCAGTATTGAATAGCATTATTGAAGTTGCTCAGCATTCAAAGAATCTTCCAGTATCTGGATAAATGCTTCAAGTAAAAAAAAAAAACAAAAAAAAACAATGAAATTGCTAAGCGATTGGGTGAGACTACTTTCATGTGCACGAATGGCTGATTAGACAGGTTTAAAAAGCGGAAAAACATAAATTCGGGAAAAATTATCGGAGAGTAAATTTTTTTTTTTTTTTTGTACGCAAGACGAAGAGTTATAAAATATAAAAGTTACAACATTTTTCGTTACTACATATTATGTTTCAGTTTCTGTATTTCATTTTATTGTTCAATGATTTAAATAATGTGTCATAAAAGAGCGGATTTAGGAACTATTAATTAAAATTGTTTGCGAAACGGATATAGTGAAGTCCCAGTTATAGTGAACCAAGATTTCGGTTCGTTGAAGGTTCATTATAGCGGGGTTAGATTGCATTTAATTACTTTTGTGAAGATAGATATTATTTGGAGAGAATTATTCAAACAGAGACTTTTTCAGCTTGTCCTATGGATAAAATTATCTCTCTCTTCTTTTTCACCCTTTCTTCCAAGGTTTTCATAGCAGGGTAAAAGAGATAAGGTTTTAGAGGTTGAAGACCAACCTAATGCAATGCCGGACAATACGGATTTTTTTTTCCTTTCTTTTTCTTATTCAGCTGATTCTATCGTTTTTCCTTATTATATATTTTCCTTTCAATAAATCTTATAATAGCAACTATCTGGGTAAGTTGTATGAATTTTAAATATCATACAACTACTTACTAAGTGAGCCGCTCAGAAGCCAATGCGGTTAAGTCCATTTTTTGATATTTTCTGATTTTTGGAAATTTTGATGAAATAAATAATAATCTTCTTAGTTATTAAAGGATTTACTCGTTGGTTACTTTTTTCTAGGTTAGACAGCCCTTTTTTTAATAGCTTCTGAATATATTGTATAATAATTTCAGAAGCCATTGTGAATAAGTCCACCTTTTATCAATATTTTTTTACATAAGCTTTGAAATTAAAATTAAATTCTTCTTTCGATATTTGTTGGTAACACTGAAAAACAAGAAATTCATAGTAACTTCAGGGTTGCCAGACGTAGTATTTTTAATACTACGGTAGTATTTTTTCACCAAAAAAAGGGGTATGGTATTTTTCGTAGTATTTTTTTAAAATGTGGTATTTTTAGTTTTTTTTTTATTTATTTGTTTTATTTTCATTTCCTAAAACAAAGAAAAGCGCCACTCTAGTTTTGAAGTAAAAAACAATTTTTGAAATAATCCAACAGTTTATTTTCTATTAGTCACTGTATCTAGTGATTGTGAAAAATAAAAGTTCGTTTATACTAGTAGACTATATATATTTCTTATCTTTTTCAGCTGCCAAAAGGTATAAGTCCTAAAATTTTTAAGATGCTGTCATTATTTCAATAAATACTTACGTTTTTATTTACACATCCTGTACATATCTTGTTTTTTTGCAGAGTTTACACCTCGAAAAAAGACTTTATACACTTTTCTAATTAAGTTAATAAACCAAGAATTTTAAAAACTAATGTAACAAAAAACATTAATTTTCTCAATTGTTGTGTTTTGGACGCATTGGCTTCTGAGCGACTCATAGTAGCAGTCGTTTTTTTTTCTCTTTTATTTATAGGGAGGACTGATAATAATTGATATTGGTAATTATGAACTGCGCTATAGGAGGGCCATCGAAGACGTGAACTAGATATGAAGTGTGTCGGAAAAAAAACAAAAAAAACTTGAAAATGAAACTATATTTTACAATTTGGGAATTCAGGCTAATTTCTCTCAGGTACCCTGCCACGAGTTTCCTGGAATGAAGTTCCTTCTGGGATTAACGTCTCGTCAAGCGGGATTTTTTTTTTTATTTCGGCACCATGAACCTCTTAGAAACTGTTTTTTCGTAAGAAACTCAACTAGTTTTTTTTTTCCCAGACGGTACTTACTACCTAGAGTCCTCTTTCTAAAGTGGAATGATGATTTTTGAGGACGAAATGAATTCTAGCGGAATTCGTAACGACTAGCCGTGGCTGGGATTCGAGCCCGGTTCACCTCATTGGGAGGCGAACGCTCTATCCCCTGAGCCACCACGTCTCGCGTCGATCTATTTGAGTGGGAAAAAAAGACAGGGGCTGATATGTCTGTAAATGCTGTTATTTCGGGTGTTCTACTTTATATTATAGTTTGTTTTGTTTTGCGCACTTCTTAAAATTTTTTTTAAAAATATATAAAATGCAGAAAAAATCTTATTCTTATAGTAATAAATAAATAAGGGATTAAGGATAATAACTAACTGAATAACAAGCACTCTATACAAAATTCATCGCGTGCCGCTTAAATATCTTTTTTCAAAATTCATGGGCAAATGATACATTTTTGTTTCACGTCACAATCTGTACTCTTAAAAACAAGTAATTACCGTTAGTCTGACAGTTGGTGCCTTAAAGAAACGTTTTGATAGGATATTAGTTTCTAAAAAAATTATTTTTGTCTTTTCTTTTTAAAGTAATGACACTTTTAACGAATCTCTTTCTTTTTCAAATTTTAGCCTTTGACTTTTTATTTATCTTAACATCAGTTTTTTTACATTTTTTTTCACATTTTAACTTTAACTAATCACAGGCAGATAGTCCCTTTTAGAAAATAAAGAAGAAAAAAACACTGTATTGAACGCCTTCAGACCGGCGGAAGGCTCGGAGTTCAAATCCCAGGGATTTATATGGCTGCTGGAGTCAGAAAGGCTCGTTTCATATCATACGATACCATGAGTCGTGAAGGGTGAATCACGTGATCACGGTCCTAAATGTGTAGAAAGTTCTAAAAGAGGATGAAAATAAATGTTTCAGAAAATTGATTCCCTAGTTTCGAAGAAAAGCATCTAAGTTCGCTTAATTTTAGCAGGGGAGGTGTAGGGTCATTTAGAGGGTGTGTCGTCTCTGTTCACTTATTTGAAAAATACTCGAGGTAACATCAGCAGAAAACAATGTTCCTTTCCAAAAAAAAAAATAAGATTTTCTTCCTATAAGCTTGATTAGACATATATTTAAAAGAGAAATAAAATTTTTAAATGACTCATTAATTTCTTATGTAACTCATTCAATTTGTTTCCTTGAATTTATTCTCCCGCTCTTCCCATGAATTCTCTTAGACTTCAGACGGGCATAAATTCTTCTTGACTTCAGACAAATATAAATTCTTTTTTTTTTTTAACTTCAGACGGGCAAACATCCTTTTTGATTTCAGACAAATATAAATTCTTTTTTAACTTCAGATGGGCATAAATTCTTCTTGACTTCCGGAAATAGTACTATGCAGAATTTTGTAGGGGTGGCAAATGAAAATTATAATTTAAATTGTCTCTATGTAGGCGAGATGTCTCATCAGTGGCCACATGAAAAGTCGCTTAGACCAAGGCACTATGATATGTCTGAACTACAGATTGGATTCTTTAAGGTAAGTCGCTCTTGTTACTATTGCAGGAATTGTCATCGTACATAACTTTGGATTCGCTGTTCGTGCGCATTTCAACGGCTACTTTCATTTTTCTAAATTAACTTAATACTACGTTTATTCTATATTTTCTAATCATTGTCGTAAAAATTATATTCAAATAGGACCAGAAATAGCTAGAGACCTGCAAGAAAGTTTCAGATCTCTAGCTATGATGCAGATTTTAATGGTCCAATTTGAAAATAATTCAATTATTATAAAACTTCAATAATTTTAGAATTCAATTATCATAAAACTTCAATAATTTAAAACTTCAATAATTTAAAACTTCAATAATTTAAAACTTCAATAACTTAAGACTTCAATTATTATAAAACTTCAATAATTTAAGACTTCAATAATTTAAGACTTCAATTATTATAAAATTTCAATAATTTAAAACTTCAACTATTATAAAACTTCAATAATTTAAAACTTCAATTATTATAAAACTTCAATAATTTAAAACTTCAATAATTTAAATAAATACAATTTTAAATGTGTATGAGCTGCTAGTCCATAATAGGGAAGGCCATGGGTTGCTATACGATTGTATCTATGATTTACCCGCCTCCACTTTCGTAACTATTGTACTGAATCACCCTATATATTCTTGTTGACTGCTTACCATATATGGCAACGTTACTTTTGAAAAGTAACGAGTAAAAGTACAAGTATTTTTAAAAAAAGTAACGAGTAAGAAGTAAAAAGTTCTTATTTTAAAAAGTAACGAGTAAAAAGTACAAGTAAAAGTATAAGTACTAAGCAAAAAAGTAACGATTTAAAAGTACATTTCTAGGAAATCGAAAATTCAAAGTAACCTAAAATTTTATTGAATAATATTCTTATGTTCTTTAATGTTTTTGCAAAATTGTTGTTATTTATTTAATTATTTTTAATTTTGAAAGTTATGGACATT